CTCTGATTCTGGACGTCATTCCGTTCAGGTTGTGTTGGGCCAAAATCGCCGCCTGGAACAACGCACATCTTGTGTTGGGAATCACCAGCGAGAGTGAAGGGTCGTATTTGGTCGCTGGAGGGAGGGAGCTCGCACTTACCTCCAAAAGAAATATTTCCATTTGCTGACTTAACTCGGTTTTCCCCTTTTCAGGTGCACTCCTGATGGCAGTTTGGGAGGAAAATTCGCAGGAAGTTGAGATTTAGGATAGGGAAGGGATTGTCGTACCAGAGAATGAAATATGGGTAAGGTAGTGTTTTGCAAAAAGTTTCCGCACGGCAGGACGTCAACTGGTCTGGATGTTGCAGGCGCTGTTGGCTTGGGAGGGCACTTTGCACTTTCAACGGCTCCTTTTTTCTAGTTTTATATTGTCTAATAGACCTCGTTTTGTTGAAACATGTAAACTCCTGCGAAACTGCAGAATAGTGAGACCAAGTGAGTCGCTTTGGTTACAAAGATTCAGAGTTTTTATTGGCCTATATAGACTTTTCGAGTACTATTTGTTGCCCCACCAAGCCAACTGCACCCCTTTGCAGATTACACAGTCTACGTATCCATTCAGTTCCTTTTTAGACTGAGATGAAAGATGTATCCGGAGGAATTTTGCGATGATCCATCCTCCAGGTACTCCCCACTCATTGAATCTGCAAATTCGGGGCCGTAGTCTCCTGGGAAGAACAAGTTGGCCAAATGCCAGAAGGGAATTAGTCCATTCCTTTAATTACTGCCTTATCGACGGTAAGTCATTCATCTTCATTTACCTTATCTACAACTGGTATCAGTGAATGATTACCTGGTCTGAGGTGTTTCGGCTGTGCTGACATGGCTCGTGGCACCGCTGCCACGATTGCGGTGACCCGCCTTGGTTCCCTCCGCCCCGCCTCCTCGTGCTTACGCCATCGTCGTCAGAGATAGTGAGTGCACAGAAGGGTCGGTACGATGAGGATCGGACCGCTCTCGTGGCTCATTTGCCTCCTATTCCCTACTTTATGTCTTTCAACGTCATGTGAGATGTTAAAGAAGTCTCATTATGACTATTCTACACTACTTAAAAAAGGCGCCGGTAAGTTTTTTTTACTTGAGTTTTTATTATATCGTATAGCTTTCGGCGCAGTTCAGTGACGGGGGGAGGGCATTTGGCACTTTCGCTGCTTCACTAGCACCGGTTTACTAAGTCTCATTCTGGAAACCTGTGAACTCTTGTGCAACTAAGCAAGCTCGTCGAGCCACCATGGCGAAACCTGTCTACTCCTGTCAACTCATAGATGAGCCCTCTAGATGCCTTACATGTCGCACAACTGGAGGCCTAACTTTTTTATGGACGTAATCTGTATGGATCACCTTATAATTACGTAGTAATTAGTAATAATTAGACTGAGGAATCCTCGTTTGTATTGTGTTCTGGTCGGCTCCCATATGCGTCACAAAAACACAACGAGCCGGTCGGCAAAGAGGGCTTTGAAGCCGAGAACGTGCCACTGAAATGGGTATAGGGAACAGTTCTTAGATTAAATTAGAGAGCATAAAATCTGTACGCGCCGTTCGGCTTGGTGGGGGTATTTATCGTTTTCAGATCAGATACTACACGCCACCTTGTGAAGACCTGTAGTATTTACTGTAACCATAGCGGTTCACGCATCGTTTCACACCTTCATAGGAGTTTACCTGTTTTCAACATGAACCACGAAAGGAACTAGCGAAAGTGGATCCCCCTCCAAGCCGAACAGCGCCAGTAATTGTTAATAGGATTTCGCATTTTCAACAGTACTCTAAAATAAGACCCTAGCGACGCTTTTCATATTTTTTTTCTCGAATGTTCAATTATATTGGACAGTAGGGGTCCAAAAACAGCAGGACATATGGACTGTAAGGAGGTGGGCAATTTAGTAAGCTTGAAGATAAGCTGCTTATTCTCGGCAATGCTACCTCTTTCGGGACTTGAACTTTAAAATTTGTTTTACATGATTCCGCTATCTGTTCTCTTCATTAGCTTGCTTGCTACCTTCAGTTGCAACAAACATCGCTGATGACATACATACCATGAATTTGGGCAGATCTATTTACATTTTTAGTGGCGGGTAGGACCCTCTCAAGAACGTTAGCGTTGCTCGCTCAGTACCATAAGGGTGGGCACTGTGTGGGTACTGTAGTGTTCATTTGGAGCTACGGGCACCACAGTGCCTCTCATAACTTTCAGGGGATCGTATTTGAGCACTAGGGAAGGGGACCGGTTAATAGCCGGTTCTTTCGGCCATTATCCCCCAAAAATTTTCTCAAATGGCCAGCTTCGTGTCAATCACCAACGGTATGGGCAGGTCTCTATGGGGAACACGGGACGTCCTGCCGTTGGGAAGAATTCTGGCAAAATGCGACCCCCCCTCGACATTTTCCCCTCCGGTACGAGTCCCTCTCCCCTCATCTTTTCTAAGATATTCCTCGTCTTTCTCAATTTTCACAACTTTCTAGTATTTTTCCGGAGGAATTAGGAAAAAATTCACCAGTTTTCCCCGACGGTCCAGCGCACGTATGGGAAAGACCAAGGAAAATCAAAAACACAAAACACTTTCGTCAAAGGCAGTTGCGCCCCGCTCCCTCCACCCCTCCCCCCCTCCAGCGACTAAACACGACCCCTCCCTCGCTGGGGTCCCTTACTTATGTACGGCGTGCTTGATAGAGGAAGTGCTTGTTACAAAAGATTTATCCTGTCTTCCCCGGGTTCCCTGGTCTTATCCCAGGAGGTTTTCAAGAAATAATTCTGAATTTTTTTGTTTTTAGCGACCGACCTGAAGATCTGCACTGGGAAGAACGCATGTTGCACAAAAAACATTGAAGATGAAATTCTCGAAAGTTCCGAGAAGATCTTCAGAGCTCAACTCGAAGACAAACTAGTTGTCCTGCGACATCTGATCAATTCGAATTTGAACAGCTTCAGAAGTAGGTTATTGATCGTCTGACTCATGTCCGATCGATCAGTTGATTGCCAATTGATTGCCATCTTTAAGCATTCTTCTACAATTCACTCAACGCATGCCACGAGCATTTGGATACTCTATTCGATCGTACTTATGGAGCATTCTATCAGAGCAATTCCCAGGTATTTATTGTCTTCTCGATGGTCTCGCCCACCGTCTCGCCAATGCTTGTGGGAAACCACGATGAGGGTTACCCACCAAAAAATCAATACGTCCTATTTCATCTACAGATTTTCGACACGTTTTTCAATCGTCTACGAGCGTTCTCGTCGCCGTTTTCCGACGCCAAAGTGTCGCAGATTACTGGCCGATTGTTCGAGGAAATGTTCGTCATCATGTTCCAACTGATGAATCCCATGGTAAGCTTACTTTACTGTTACTATTTACTATCAAACCTATCTGGACATAAGGTTCGTCTATGAAAACTACGGCTCATATCATATCGATGTTGAAGCGGAACGTCTCACCTGCTTCCTTTTTTCTTCTTCCTCCCTTCTTCTTTCTTGTCTTCATTCCTTCTCTTCCTCATTTTCCTCTCAGTGAAAACTCGGTCACAGAATATGCGATTGGGAACAATACCACCGGACCCTCGTGGTGCAAAGAACATCCAGTTGACAGATGCCCTGCAACCGAGCGAAACCCTCATCAGAGGGTCGTTAAGGGGAAGCTAGAAGAGGAGTCGTATTTGGCTTCGATAGAAAATTTTCCGTTTGTTGATACAACCCGTTTCGTGCTTATGGACCTCTCCAGCTAAGTCTGATAAAATGCGAGTAAGTTTGGGAGGGCAGGGGGCCGTAGTGGGGAGGCAGGTGAGTTCGCCTAGGAGACTGTCAGTTCACCATCGCGCAATCCTGTATCTTCTGCCGAAGTGTGCCGGTCACTTTTACGGCCTTTTAGTGCTTCAAATAGTCCACTGTCTGAGTTATAGCCCTGTACGTCTTGTGCCAATTTTCTTCGCAGAGACTATTCCAGTTCACAGTAATCCATCCCAATCGCTGTAGCCTTCTGCCGAAGTGTGCCGGTCACTTTTACGGCCTTTTAGTGCTTCAAATAGTCTACTGTCTGAGTTTATAGCCCTGTACGCCCTGTGCCAATTTTCTTCAGAACTGCTGCCGCAGTTCGGCTTTGAGGGGCACTTTGCACTTTCGCTTCTTCCCATTGTCGTATAGACCCATCAAATGGAGATTTGTAAAATTTATGTAGCCACGAAGTGTCACCATTTGAAGTTGGTAGAACTACTTGTCAGCTTTTGTGAAGAATACTTGTCCGACCCTGCATGTAAAGCGTAACAACAATATAGGCGGATAAAACTGGACGAAAAAGTTCGCTGGCCTTCTCTCCGCCCCCCCAAGCCGGCAAGTGTGCCCACATTCTTGCTGGGAGTCCGTGCTTAAGCTTCTGCGGCTTACTTTCTGAGTCTGTAGCCGACCTGGGTCCCCACTGCTCATCAAGCTCGCCGTACTGATCGAGGAAATTCAATTGGCCCTTTTGTGGCGAAAATGGCCAACTATCGTTTGAGGGTGACGAAAAAACGGACCTCGTTCTTGCTTCGTGCAAGAAGTCTGACGTCACTGGCCTGCGCCTGGTCGGTTCGTGTGACCTCCCAGAGTAGTCAGTCGGGTCAACCGCTTTGATCGGACTGGTCAACCCAAAATTGCAAGAAGTACCCGATCCACCTGATCTTCAAAGTCTGCTTGTTACTCACCACAGTAATTATTCTATCGTGAGCTTTTCCATTCCTATTTTCTCCCTTTCTCTCTTATTTCCATGAATTTCGTAGCATTTTTGTTACGTTTGGTGCTTTTCATGGTAGGACTTTTAGTTATCAAAGGTTTCGAACGAATCGTTGTCCCGTAGCTCCTCGATATTTCTTTCTTCGTGGCTCATCCTTGATTTCCACAGTCTCTTCTTTTATACACGTTGTTTGATTAATTTTCAGTTGGACTAGGGGGGTATTTTGCACATTCGCTACTTCTCATTGCTGTGTCGAGCCATCAAGTAGAGATCCTTGAAATCATCTGAAGCCATGAAGTGATACCGCTCAGTGTGTAGAGACTAATTGTCGACCTTGTAAAGCAATGAACACGAGAATGGGAAGCAGTGAAAGTGCTAAATGCCCTTTCCAAGCCGAACAGCGCCTAATTCTTCTTCTTAGTGGTGGGTGTTGGTAGTTCCACTCTACACTCTATGCACTGACTAACTGAAAGAGAGTTCAGTAGGATTCCAAGGAACGGAAAGAGGTCCGAGTGAGAGCAGAAGGATAGGGTCATTTTTTCTTCTAACGGAATACGTGGATAGTGGGAGATCAGCTGGTTCCCACGTCCCCTGCAATAGCATTTGGGGAAATGATCGGGCCAACAGTTGCAGATACGGGAACGTATAGGGCCAGGGCGAGGGGCAGTGACGCCAGCGGTTGGGGGCAACATCATGAAATTTCATGCTGCTTGCTCAAGAGTATTACTCACACTGTACAGGCCAAAGCCTTCTAGCCTCTGGGGACGGTAAATTGGTGCCGGCCAGATTCGTCTGAGAGTATGCGAACACTGACTTGGCTTGTCCTTCATTCCCACTGCGAACTGCTGATTTGAAAGTAAAAGGACAACATAGAAAGGAGGAGCAGCTCGATTGCACCGAAGTCGGATAGGGGCGGCAATCTGGACTCCTCTTTTGAAATGATGACTGCCGCAATGCAAACTTGGATTTTGCGCAATCCCTCTTGCCACTGCCCTCTGGTCCGGAGCTAGAAAAAGGGGTCGGCGAGCTCACTTCCTCTTTCCGAAAAGAGTTCCGTATAATGACTATTTCAGTTCTGAGAAGGTAATCCTTCAAATGCCCCCACCCCCTTATTGGGATTCCCCCCTCAGATGTTCTACAAGTTCTTCCACAAGCTGTAGTCATCTGAGCGTTCCATTAATCTTTTTTGTAGAGCTTTTCTCCTCACACTTCGGACTCAATTTGTAGGATCTTCCTCCTACAGTTTTCTTCCCAGAAAGAGGTTTTCCTCCCACATTGATTGATCCTTTTTTGTAGAGCTTTCCATCTTTTACCTCTAATTCTATATGAGGGATCTTCCTCCTACAGTTTTCTTCCCTCGAAGAATTTTTCTCCCACAGGGTCCTTTTTTTGGGGTGTTTCGAACCAGACTTGGTCACTTTTTTTTCACCCGGCTGGTTGCTGATTCAAATTCATCTCTACGTTTTCAGCACACAGTGTCGGCAAGTCAGCGTCGTTGTATGATTGAAGGCATGGAAGAAATCGCGCCATTTGGCAACGTACCAAAAAAGGTCGGTTAGCCCACCACACCCTCTAATCTCATCTACCTCTCTGGACTACCGTAATCCGGATCCAGTCGAAGAAGTACGATATGATTTATAGTTGCAGATTACGGTACATATGGAAAAATCGTTAACGTTCTGGAAACATTTCGTCACTGGACTTGATAAAGTCAACAATATTTTTGATGGATTTATGAATGTGAGTTTTTTTAATTAGTATGTTCTCAAGAAGAAGAATTAGGCACTGTTCCG